ATAGTCATTACCACGCATTTCCAGCAAGACTGACTAACACGTCGGAAACTTTAGCTGTCTCAGCTTGACATTAGTAACGTCTGTATAATTACATGCTAAGTGCATTAAGCGTTGTCAGCTTCCATGGTTCTTATACGTGCACTATATCAGGTATTATTCGGCAGGAATGACACCTTTGGTTAAAAGCTGCCCACAAAGATAGATATTACTCGTCTAAGGTTTTTTGGGGGGTTTCAAAGTTTACTGAAAATAGAGTTCAGGTACAGAAAAGGGGGGTATACCCATTGCTTGGGGTTCATTTTGGAGTTCTAATGCAACTGTTGTGGGATGCATCTGGGCAAACGGGTATACCTGGAACCCTCTGTTTACTTTTGATAAATAGGGTACATAGCTAGGAGTTAGTAAACTGTTGTATTCACCTACAACTGACGTCTCTATGGTCCTGTGCTGTGAGACATCTTCCTGCATTGATAGACATGTTTATTATCATGTATTGATAGACATGTTTATTCTGATGTATTGATAGACATGTTTATTCTTATGTATTAATAGACATCATCGTCATGTATTGCTGGTGGGAACAATATCCAAGATCAATACTAGTCAACGCCGGATCAATATCATCAACGGTTATTGTACGTTAAATTAACGTTGATCATGATGATTCAACGAGGACCCAATGCCAAGTGTGGATATTTGGGCCCCATTAGGTGTTTGACGTGAGGTCATGTCTTAATAGACATACATCAATCAGACAAACGGCATTCAGAAAGGCGGGGTCCAAGAGCTAACAACTCAATTCCCCCTCCAGACACAAATAGTAAATACAAATATTAAATTACACACACACACACACACACACACACACACACACACACACACACACACACACACACACACACACACACACACACACACACACACCATGACTTCCTCTCACGTCTCTATCTCTCCTTTCTCTCTCATTCTTTCCTCCTTCCTTCTGTACTCCCTCTCGCTGCTATCTCTCTCTCTTCCTTCTCCCTCTCTGCCCTCTCTCCCTCTCCCTCTCGCTTCAGGCTTTACTACCAATATATTCAGTACGAGTGTCGTCCTACGCCCTCCGCAACGATTATGTATGAAGTAAATATGTAACTAAAATGCTCCTCCCACTAATTATCGCTCGTAAAGCATCAGTACACTAACATGTATAATTTTCCGCCTCCCCCTCCCTCCCTCTTGCTGCTTTTGATGTTCTTCTCGGCTGAACAGATGCGGTGTTGTGGGTCCGGTAGAGCGCTGTTGTGAGACCTGGTAAGGTGAGGTGGATGTAAACACAGTCATCACTGTAACTATCTTCACCACATACACACACACACACACACACGACTCTTCATCACAGTAACTATCTTCACCACACACACACACGACTCCTCATCACAGTAACTATCTTCACCACACACACACACACACACACGACTCTTCATCACTGTAACTATCTTTACTACGCACAAACACGACTCCTCATCACAGTAACTATCTTCACCACACACACACACACACACGACTCTTCATCACTGTAACTATCTTTACCACACACAAACACGACTCCTCATCACAGTAACTATCTTCACCACACACACACACACGACTCTTCAACACAGTACCATCACCACAACACACAACCCATCACGGGTAGTGGTGATCATGCAACACGTTCTCTTGAGTTGCCCCTTCGTAAAAAAGAAAAATCCAACTTTTTACCCGAACCTGAAGCGAACGAACCCAAACAATTCACCGAACCCATCGACTCCGAGAGCTTAGAAAACGAGAATGGTTCTGACTCCCCCCTCGTTACTTTCCTTGTTACGCTGCTCTAGTAACGTTGGTTATGATAACGTAAGGTAACGCAGCTATGAGAAGAAAGCGCTAAACGTTAATAGGACTTAGAGTGGACAACGTAACAAACGTAGCCTACTTTCGATATATATATATATATATATATATATATATATATATATATATATATATATATATATATATATATATATATATATATATATATATATATATATCAACATTACGATAATTCGAATACTTCAGACGCGTCCGAAAGTTTGTCCACGTTTCCTTACACCTGATGGCTCTGTTCACCTAGAAGTAAATAGGTATCCAAGAGTTAACTGTAAATTACATCCTGGAAAAGACCACCCCTAAGAAAGTAATTATCAAAAAGCAGGTCGGCGTTCGATTCCCAATGGCCAAAGTGGTTGGGCAAAGTTCCTTACTCCTTCTAACGGGACATTCATAAGCAAAACAGGCTGCCTGCTGCCTCGTCCCCTCACGGCATTGGGAAGTACATAAACACTCAGCTACTGTTGTTCTGAGTATATTTAATGCTTCTGTTGACCAGACCACACACTAGAAGGTGAAGGGACGACGACAATCGACTTGAGAATGGTCCAGGACGGACCGAAACGTCGTCAACCCTTCACTTTCTAGTCTGTGGTCTGGTCAACATATAGCCACGTTATTGCGACTCCTCGTCTGTACTTAATTTAATCTATTACTCTTCAATAACTCAGGTAGAAATTAGACCAGAATGTAATGATTGTAAGCTGAAAATGATTTCTGTATGCAAGTCTCAGTATTTCCCAAAGCATTATGCAATGACAGGTGTGAGGAGTGAATTGACTTGCAACGAGGCGTGAGAGATGAACGCGAACATCATTATCTGATTTTCCTGTTTAATGCCCGAGCGACGAGCAGTGACTGATTGATTACTTACGTCTACTGATCATGCTAATTGATCAACTGGCTGAATGGAGCAGTTAACGAGCTGAATTCTATAGGCTGTGATTGCTGGACAAGAACCCATAGCAGCATTTGCTCGAGAATTTAAACTTAGACTTGAATTCAAAGTTCCACAAGTACATTATTTTTTTAGGGGGGGGGGGCAAAAAAATTATGTAATTAAAAATACAGAATATATAGTTGCAATTTTTAGAATTATATTGAGATACTTATGCAAATTAAAAGCTTTCTAAGTTGGGGCAGGCTTTTCCTCCCTAAGCTTCTTAACTTCCCATATTCCAATGCTGGGATACCCTTCTCTTCCCTACCTCCCTTCAACACTTTCCAATCCCCATCTCCCCCTCCCCAATCCCCACCTCCAAACTAGACACGATGATGACAAGGTGACTATGAAAATGATTGATATAATTAAGAATTTGAACATAGTGTTTAGCATTTTTTTTATCAATGCTCGATAAAATTATTAACTAAAGATTTGGCTTAATTACAAATACATAATCCAGTGTGATTTAAAATGGATGAATGGGAGGGTAAATTTTTTTTTACGAAAAATCAGTAAAAATTCAACCAATTTTTAAAGAATTTGTGAAACCGTTTGCTATTTTTTACCTGATGAAAGATGTATATATTTTTAATTCAAGTGTGTGTAAAATGGAACAATTATAATTTTTAATGTTGCTTTGATCAGTAATAAAACGACAACTTTATTAACGTAATCAATGTAATTCAGTCAAGCTACATCCCATTCTTGATATGTTCTAGATTTTAATAATACAAATTTTGTTTTCCAATAGTTCAGCCATTGATATCAAAGGTGAGGCAAATTTCCCTACTCTCGTATACAGACTTGATATGATATCAAGACTTGATATCGTTAGTCTGACAATCTTACACCCGCCAGTGTGTATGTGTGTGTGTGTGTGTGTGTGTGTGTGTGTGTGTGTGTGTGTGTGTGTGTGTGTGTGTGTGTGTGTGTGTGTGTGAGTGTGAGTGTGTGTGCATAGGTCTGAGACGTAGCTCCTGGCTCTCGTCTTTCCAACTCACGACATATTTCCTCTGTTTTAAAACTCAGGACAGACACAATTCAATTCGCATAATGAATATATTAGGAGCTGCCTCGTAGGGGGACAAAAGATCCTTTATAGTTTTCTTGTTTCTTAAAGTTACATTCTTAGATCCAGATGTTCTCCCTGGCTCGTCTGTGCCTTTGACGTCATATTACACATTGCATTTCCTCTATAATCATGTCAGTATTCAGAGGTAAAACTCATCCTTAAGCGATATTAAATTAATATGCACGAGGACACTATCAACACCACACACTATTAACACCACACACTATCAACACCATACACTTCGCTTGGCTACAACATGTGCTTGCAACATAAGTAAATGTTTTTGTCAAGTTAATTAATTTTGCAGATAAATTATGTATAAATGACGGAAACAAATAGTTTATTAAGCTGAACGGCTTCCAGCTGTGTCGCAGTCCGTTGTTCAGGGGAATATATATATATATATATATATATATATATATATATATATATATATATATATATATATATATATATATATATATATATTTTGTCCGGTCGTGATGGTCAAGCGGATTAAGGCGTCCCTGTACATACCAGTTGTGGGAGTATGGGTTCGAGTCACTTCTGGGGTGTGAGTTTTCAGTTGTATATAGTCCTGGGGACCATTCAGGCTTGTTTGCATTTGTGTTCCTCACGTGTGCCCCAAAGAATGAGGTGATTTGATAAAATGCTATGCCCAAGATTACCATCCGAGTGCCGGCGGGGAAGTGGTTTATATATATATATATATATATATATATATATATATATATATATATATATAGAAAGGTATGTATATATACCCCGGTTTCTCGGTGCATATTCACTGAAAGTTTACTTTACTCCTGGCCAGAGTTCATGGATAAAGTATACTTATTGGTTGATCAGTAAACTATTATAGTAGCCTTATTAGGGCCCCCCAGAGGTTGATAGATCTTATGCCCGATATCAAACTAAACAGGTGTTGTTATATGTAGCTAGTAATATATGTAACTAGTAGTATATATAGCTAGTAGTATATGAAGCTACAAGTATATGCAGCTAGGAGATATATGTAGCTAGTAGTATATGGGTGGACATATATTTTAAAAGTCGTGCTTCTTCATATATTTTTATGAAGTGACGATAATATTAGGACTTTGTATTTTTATTATATCTTAATGCTGAGGTTCGTTCCCTCCACGTGTCGTCTACTGTGTCGTCTACTGTGTCGTCTACTGTGTCGTCTACTGTGTCGTCTACTGTGTCGTCTACTGTGTCGTCTATTGTGTTGTCTACTGTGTCGTCTACTGTGTCGTCTACTGTGTCGTCTACTGTGTTGTCTACTATATCGTCTACTGTGTCGTCTACTGTGTCGTCTACTGTGTTGTCTACTGTGTCGTCTACTGTGTCGTCTACTGTGTCGTCTACTGTGTTGTCTACTATGTCGTCTACTGTGTCGTCTACTGTGTCGTCTACTGTGTCGTCTACTGTGTCGTCTACTGTGTTGTCTACTGTGTCGTCTACTGTGTCGTCTACTGTGTTGTCTACTGTGTCGTCTACTGTGTCGTCTACTGTGTCGTCTACTGTGTCGTCTACTCCAGTGCCCGACATTAACTCATGCAATGCTCCCTCACATCGCAGTCACCAAGTTGTCGTGTACTATGCCCCTGTCGTGTACTATGCTCCTGTAGTGTACTATGCTCCTGCCGTGTTTTCGAGGCGGTGTTTATTTCTCCACGAAGCTGTGTGATATATTGTTGGCCTCGTCGGCTGTCATATTCCCAGGACTTCCTCGTTCATATATTTTTCACCCTCCCCCCCCCCGGATCTGTTTGTGTCTCTCTCCCTCTCTCTCTCTCTCTCTCTCTCTCTCTCTCTCTCTCTCTCTCTCTCTCTCTCTCTCTCTCTCTCTCTCTCTCTGCAGTACATTCATACATAAATTATATTTAAAAATATTGTAAACAAAACAAGAAACACAGAGGGCAACAATCCTGTTGTTTTAAAATATAAACGAGAACTCGGCCTTGTGTGTTTCTGTATGTATGTATGTACATATGTATGTATGTATGTATGTACTCACCTATTTGTGTCTGCAGGATCGAGCATTGACTCCTGGACCCCCGCCTTTCGAGCCCATCAGTTGTTTACAGCAATGATGTATGAATGTATGTATGTATGAATGTATGTATGTATGAATGTATGTACGTATGTTTGAGTAAATGCGAATTAAAAATCATGTATCGTGCGTAGGGTGTTCCCCCTTGTTTCCTGTATACACACCATTAAATGGGTGTATAACACCACTGGACCGGTACACTTCCACCCTGTGTCCCCAGCCTGTAAACTGCACAGGACCTTGGACTTTGTCTTCATTCACCTCCCCCATTACCTCGGTGGAAGAGATTGATGGTCTACCTTAGAGTGGAGGGAAGTGGACATTTTTATCATGCAATCTGTTGCGTCAGTTCAAGAAAAATTGTCTTGTTCCTACCCCCTGTGACCTGCGGCATGACACGCTCCACGATGATGCTGTCATGTTCTCACTCTATCTTCACTGTAGGCGATAGTGATACACAGTCATCTTCTCACTCTATCGTCATCGTAGGCTACACAGTCATGTTCCCACGCTGTCATCAACAACACCACAGGTTTCCACAGAAATATCAGCATGTTTCCACAGCATCGTCATCAGACAACACAATGTTCTTCTGTTCTTCAAAACTTCTTCTGGCATCCAGTCACGATTTGATCTCACTTGAGAACGTATCACTCTCAGTATTTTATTACTGCTCATTTCCGTAGCATACATATATATAATCTATTCAATTTAACATGGCTGAGTGTTTATAACATTTACCATTTTTTTCCACAATTTTTATGATTTGTTTGAAAGTTTAATTGCGCCAAACTATAAATATTTACTTCATTAAAGTTTGGTTATATATCAGGGTAATGTGGAAGGTGTTATCTAGCTTCTCCTGCTGATAGCCTTTTCCTGTTGTTATGCTTCTTCGGGTTTTAAGCGTCAATTTTTAAGCCTCTGCTTTCAAGCGTTTGCTATCAAGCTTCTGTTACTAATAATAAGCTGTTAATCTTCTACAGTTGTTAAACTTATATTGTTAAGTGTCTCTTGTTATCAAGCTTCTTTTACTATTAAGCTTTTCCTGCCACTACGTTTCTTCTGTTGTTAAACTCTTTTCCTGTTACGTGTGATTTAATCAACAAACGTTTAAGAGTAGTTAAACAAAGCAACTATCACGGAGCTAATAGCACATATTCGATACCCTGATATTGCACGAATAAATTAACCACCATCATTTTGCATTACTGGGGTCATTACGACGTAACAAATGACACAGTCCATCCACATGGCCTGGACGACAAGCAACCAGTCCTCTTAAAAATAACGTCACTTTTCGCTCGTATGCGCTCTATGGCCAAATTTGGACGTAATTTGAAATGAAATCGACTCACAAAAGTGACGTTTGTTCCGTTTTCTATGTGAGTCGTCCGGCGTACGCGCACGACAAGAGCGAAGATCTTGTAAATTGTTTATTTTGCACGCTCGGCGTTCGATTCCCGATGGTCCGTCCTCATATCCCTTGGAAATGTCCTCTTAATCAGATATTTTTCCTTCATCTTCCTTCCAGACGCTGGATTGGCTTTTTTTCCCCAATTACCTGCCACGGTGGTTCACGTTAAGACGGACACTGTACGGGGCTCGTATATCTCGCCACAATATGACACAGTCGCCATTTTATGATGAAGCTGAATGTGACACCGACAGGTACCCCCATTATGCCTCCTCCCAGCACGCCCAGAATAGGCCATAATGGATATTGCCTTTTAGCTTATGAACCTCCGCCAGCCACAGACCCCTATTTGTGACATAATAATGCCTCCCACTCCCTCCTGGTGTAATTATTTTACGGAATTTCATATTGTCTTTTATGTAGTTTTGTATTAAGGCGTAAGCTTATAACAGGGATTCAAGATTTTATATTATATATATATATATATATATATATATATATATATATATATATATATATATATATATATATATATATATATATTGCTAATCACAATCCCCACGCTCAAGAAGGAAGGATATGTCTTGTCTGGTGTGTCCTGGGTCAGGAAGGGCTTCAACAAGACATTTCAGACACTGAATCAGTGAGAAACTGGGCTCCAGGGAAAGAAGAGATCAAGTGTTGGAAATTAGATTAGCAATACTCGTTAGAGAGAGAGAGAGAGAGAGAGAGAGAGAGAGAGAGAGAGAGAGAGAGAGAGAGAGAGAGAGAGAGAGAGAGAGAGAGAGAGAGAGAGAGAAGGTTCCATTGCTTTTTGTTGCTGTCTTAACTTCCAGATTGGACACTTTCAACTTAACACTTAAAGAATAGGAAGTTAGTGAAAATTTTCCCCTCGGAAACTCTCCGAGTCTGTCGATGGAGGATATTGTGTACCGCTTTGACCACTCCACCTTCATGGATTCTGATGGGCTTCTAAATCCTACACGACGCTGATGGACTACGACATTCTCCATGACAATGTTGGGCTACAACACCCTACAGAACACTGCTGGGCTTCTACATCCTCCAGAACACTGCTGGGCTTCTACACCCTCCAGAACACTGCTGGGCTTCTACACCCTCCAGAACACTGCTGGGCTTCTACACCCTCCAGAACACTGCTGGGCTTCTACACCCTCCAGAACACTGCTGGGCTTCTACACCCTCTAGAACACTGCTGGGCTTCTACACCCTCCAGAACACTGCTGGGCTTCTATACCCTCCAGAACACTGCTGGGCTTCTACACCCTCCAGAACACTGCTGGGCTTCTACACCCTCCAGAACACTGCTGGGCTTCTACACCCTCCAGAACACTGCTGGGCTTCTACACCCTCCAGAAAGTTGCTAGACTACTACACCCTTCTGGACACTGCTGGACTAATAAACCCTTTTGGACACTGCTGGGCTTTTACACCTTCCTGGACAACTACACCTTCTTGGACACCACTGAACAATTACACCCTCCAGGTTGCTGTTAGACTCCTACACTCTCTAGGACACTACTGGACTGCTACACCCCTCCGCAACACTGTTGAACTGCATCTAACCTAACCTAACCTAACCTAACCTTACATGCAGAGGGGCTCAATAGCCTGCAACACAGTACGCAACAAAATTCATGTTTCATGGGATAAAATAAATGATAAACGTTTCACATATCTGAATGTGGATCGATATGGGCCAGAAAGTAGAAGGCTGATGAGGTAATATACATTAATTTTATTCTAAGTAAATCAAATTTCTTTTCCCTTTTAGAATGGATTGCAGTTACATCCTGTTTAGCAGTCAATAAAGCTGTCTTGTATGTAAGTGGGTTAGGTTAGGGTATGTTAAGGTTGGGTAGAATATGGCTGGTTAGGTTAGATTAAAATGGGTTGGGTTTAGTTGGGTTAAGTTTGGTTAGGTTAAGACAGGTCAGGTTAAGTAACGTTGTGTGAAATTTAACTGAATTAAGTTAGCTTAGATTAGGTCAAGTTACGTTAGGTTAAATTAGGTTGTGTTTGGTTGGGTTTAGTTCATTTAAGTTAGGATAAGATTTGTTAGGTTTGGTTTGGTTAAATTAGACGACGTCAGGTAAGGTTAGTTAATTAAGCTGGTAAGCGACAACCCGACACACCTTATAACTATCCATAACTACACACCCAAAGTGTTAACCATGTGACGCCTAAGGCAATTAAGTTAAGGCTGCAGTTAATTATCTCATCTATAACTTAAGAAATATCTCGTTCGGAATAGGGACAAAAAGTATGAAAAGAAACTAATTTACCCAAATCCTCAGTTAATCAGACTTACTTTAATTATATCATTATAGACAGGCACATGGTTAGCATATTTTTTAGTCATTGTATAATGCAATCATATAATTGAATCTATTCATTAAGATTAACTGTAGCTGATCAAGTCCTGTTGCATAATTACTTCCGAATGATCAACGGCATCGAACCAGGTAATTAACAATGTTGTGGGTTATCTACTTCCAATGTTGCTACAACGGACTACGAAAGGCAATATTTGGGGGGCAATATTTGGTCTCTGAAAGCCAGTCTGGTGTTGACATAACCAGCTACGGTAGCCGGAGACGTGTTGCCACAACTGGTCACGCGAAAACTAGCCAGAGTATGGCGACACATCTGACGACAACCAACCCCCCGTTACACAGACGTTGGTTGAGTACATTGGTTGAGTAAGTTGGTTGATACATTATACAGAACACGAGGGTGTTGGGGTGACCCTTTAACGGACGGTAGCATTCTTGTAAACAGTCTTGTAAACAGCGTTGTAAACAACACAGACACTCAACCACTCATTCCTTCACCTAATGTGTCACATTCTTAACGACTAATTCGACCAATTCGTTAATTAATGCGACGCCAACTTGGACGAATTCTTTTGAATGTGAAGGTTTTTAGTTAGACAAAACTGATGTATTTTGTTTGTTTGTTTACGGAATGGTAAATGATGAAGACGGTCTGGAGACGAGTTAAATCACATCTTCTGAATTGTTTATTGACCAGGACTCATCAGGCACTTGAGCAAAT